GATTTTTGGTCACTTCCTAGACTTTTCTGGTTCACGATTGTAATGTCCGGTTCTAAGCGTATGTAACTTTTGGCTGTGACTGTGAGTCGGCTACATTCATCGCATTTCAGTAAAATCTTGGATATTGGGAAATACATTGATCGTGATGTCCTGAGCTGTGAGCCTTGTGTTCATTTTCTAGCAATGATCATGAGCACGGCGCACACATGTAGCAGCCATATAACGTACTGTACACCCAAGCCGGCGTTTGTCTGTGTGTGTGTGTGTGCGTGCAGGCAAGGTGTGTGCTCTGAATATAAATATGGCTGTGTCATGGACTTGCACTGGTATCTGATTAAAGCAATCCGATCCGTGGTTCTCTCACCAACCCCCACCTGCCCATTCTTCCTGGAAAAGGAGGGGGGGTGGCTGTGGCTGGTATCCTGTCTCCTTGTGCATTGTTAGTGGATTCCACAGGATTGTACGAGGGATGCCGCTGGAAGATGGACGAGCCCTCTTCTAATACCTGCTCGCTGCAGCAGAGGCCTACATTGTTTCACACATTTCGACTAGCACCCTTCATTGTACCGGTCTGCAGTCATCGGTATTAATGATTGTAGGGTTCTGCAGTCATTTGTCCTCACATTACACATGTGATCATAAGGTGAACATTAATACTTCTAATCTATAGTCCTGACCTGTAGAAACAAGGAATGGTGTTAGGTTTGCACTAGGCTGGCGTGTTTTCTTTTTATTTGAATATGTAAACTGTCGGTCTCGTATACCTTCTTGTTTACCTAGCCTATTTGAATTCGCCGTGAAGGCGTTGTCCATTTTGCGATAAATAAATCCTTATGGGAATGAAAAGGGAGGGATTCGGGGAGAACTTGCTGTATGTGAATGTTCTTGTTTGCATTCCTCAGAAGCTGGATTTCTGATACGGTCATATGGCAGCTATAAGCAGCAGGGAGCACCGTGCGTTATCATCGGGAGGTCTTCCAAGATAGCAATGCTACGCTGTTAGGTGTTCAAGATATTATATTATTCTAGTTTGTGTTGTTCTCTCATGGGCAGTACAGTGCATATCATAACGTGCTACTCTAAGGATGTCCATACACTGGCCGAATTTTGCACAGTGGGTGCCCCTGTTGGCACCCTTTCTGCCCGGCGTTCCTCGATCAGAAGATCGAAGGATCCGGATGGAAAATATTTGGCTGAACAGTGCTTGGCCCCTGTCAGAATGCAATGAAAACGGCAGGAGATTCCTTCATCCTCGCTGCTTAGCATGGATGGAAGAATCTGTGATAGTAGACTGAATGAGAAAAACAGTACAGTGTATGGTTAGCTTTACTGTTAGGGTTCTCCTATTAGTTCTTGTCAGTGGAGCTGGCTGCTGAAAAGGATCCTGCTGGTTCCAGAATTCCATATTGATTTGTCCACCACCCCTGTGCTAAGGCCTTATGCACATGGCCTGAAAAAACAGCAGCTTTTCGATCTGTATGGCGTTTTGTTGTTTTTTTCTTTTTACACCTCCTAAATGCAGCTCTCTAATATCCAATATGTCCATTCACATTGTAGTATTTAGAGCTATAATCTTGAGCAGCCTTTCTCAACCGGGGTGCCTTCTGGCTTCTTCAGGGGTGCCTTGAAATTTTCACATCATCATGCCTCCAATTAGGCGTGCTTCTGATGTGAAGGGGGGCTTCTAATGTGAAAAGGGGGGGATCGGTGGTAAAGAGGAGCTTCTAATGTGACAGGGGCTCCTAATATTTAGAAGGTGAGCTCTTGATGTAAAGGGGAACTCTGATGTGCAAGGGGGGCTCCTAATGTGAAAAAGGGAGCCTCTATTTTAAAGAGGGGCTTCTAATGTTAGAGAGGCTCCTAATAATAAGAAGGTGGGCTCTTTATCTAAAGGGGAACTCTGATGTGGAAGGGGGACTCTGATGTGAAGCAGAATGTGAACCCCACATTTTTCTTTGGCATTTTTTGCTAGGGGTTCCCCATTAAAAACCATACCTGGTGTCCTATCTTGGATAAGGGTCTGGTATGGATTTTGGAGGGACTAAACGTCATTTTTTACATTTATGGTTATTACATTTTAGACTAGGGTGCCCCGAGATTTTGCATATTTTAAAGGGTGCCATGACTGACAAAAGGTTGAGAAACGCTGATTCAGCGTTCAGAGGCATTAAAGAATGTCCCTGTGTTCAGAGAGGTATACTTCACATGTGTAAATGTCCACACATATGGGTACATACATGCATGTTCATCTTAGTGGTTAGAATCAATAATATTCTAGGCACCAAAATGAATTTGCCACCTGTTCGCTTTGTAAACACTGTGCATGAACACCATTACATGCATTCATTTTTTTTGTTCCACGCTGGATCTTTCTGAGTATTTAATTACGCCTGTGTGCATGAGCCCTAATTTACCTGTTGCACAAAAACAATCCTATTATCCTGTGAACAAATAGCTGTCAGCTATGTGTACTAATAAGATTTGACTGTTAGCTTGTATGTTCAGAGGTAGAATTGATCCATCATGCACCTGTTCATGGTACGCTTTGTCTAGTTTACTCTAGTGAATAAAAGTGATTACTTTCTCTTATCAATTGTATTTTTTGGGTGTTTGTGTAGCCCGTATTCACATCTGAACAGAGCGTATTTCTGGCAATTTTGAAGGGGTGTTTTTTTTGTGTGTGTGTTCTACATATGTAAAAGCATCTTTTTATAGAGCATTTTGGAAACTTTGCAAGCATTTTTGCACGTGTATCAAGTAACAGGCATTTTTGTTTTGACTAGGGATATACTGATACCGAGTATTTGGGCAAGTACTTGCCTCCAATACCAGAACTTCCGGTCAGATGGAGATCTCCGTCTGACCGCAAGTGCCGTGGGAGCATGGAGCCGGCTTTCTTTCCAATCGGGAAGCCAGGCGGTGGGTTATGACCCGCCTCCCGGCTTCCTGATTGGCTAGGAAGCCAGCTGCACTTGTAGCTTGGCTTCCTAACCAATTAGAAAGCCAAGCAGCAGGTCATGACTCGCGTCCTGGCTTCCTGATTGGTCAGGAAGCCACGCCACCTAGCAACAAGTGACGTCGGCTTCCTAGCCAATCAGGAAGTTGGATGGCACCTCATGATTCCTGATTGTTCAGGAAGCCAGGCAGCATCGGTATGTGAATCCGGTGTTCTTTTGCTTGAACACTGGCTTCACAGGCAATCAGGATTTCCTAAAAACCTGGGCACACAGCACCAATACTCAGTACTGGCGAGTACCGAAAAGAAAGTATTGGTACCCGAAACCGATAAAACGGTATCGGTGCGCCCCTAGTTTTGATCAATGGAAAACCCTTCTAGAGGAGGAGAGCAGTTCTTTAGGTGCAAAAATAGGTGTTTTCATTGATGTCTATAGGGGCAAAAACACAAGACACAGTTTAAAAAAAGCTCATGTACCGCTTTGAGGTTTACGTCTGATTAACACCAGATACGTCTGGGCCGACTGGCTGCTTTTTACAGTGCAGCCCCAATGCTAGACAAGGCAATATGATTTGTTTCAAATGGGCTTAGTTCACACCACCGCAATGCATGTGGTGCTGCACCATTTTCAGCATACGGTGTATGACATGGTACGTTTGCACCACGGTGTGCCCATAGAGCTTAATGAAATTTCACTTGTGACAATAAAGTTTTAACAAAAAAAAAGTAAACCGTGATGTGCAGGGATGAGCACTGTGCCCGGCAATGCACACGGGTAGCTGTGCGTTGTAGCGTGATTGTTGGGTTGAATTGGCTCTCAAGAGGCTGAGAGTATAGGTATGAACAGGTACTATTGAAAAAAATGGAATTCTGATTTTGTGTTGTTGCATGTAGGGAAACGCGCAACAAAATGCTTGGGTGTAAATCGGGGCTAAAGCTGGGTATACATTAGTGATTGCTCCAGATTCTAACATGCTACAGTGCGTGGATGGAGGAATCTCCCACTGAGGCTATTGAATTATGACAGTCGGCCCCGCTGGCTGTCAAAAGATGTGTACAATGCCTGTGTCTGATTGGATGCAGGCACTATTCAGCTTTTTGATCTGTTCCACCAGTCAGTTTTTCAGAT